ATTACTTCTCCATTCTCCCAGCTCATTGGATGTACAACAGGTGGATCAGGTACGTAAGTCCAATAAAGTTCTCCATTACACACCATCATTAGATTCACCAGCAGGACAGTTGTCAGAATCATCTCTACGGGCAGAAGAACTTCCCGTGAAATGGACCAATCTTTCAGGCAGCCACCGGGCACCTTCAGCGTCCTGTGGAAAAACACAAACATGCCCTCATCCCCATATTAGTACCGGATCGGGACCATTCCATACACCCGTGAGGGGATCTTTCCATTTTACCAATGCGTATGATGCTTTGGTCTCTGGATGCCATAATCTTTCCGCTGCAGTCAACCCTTGAGCATCTACAATCAAAAAATTTAAAACAAATAATGCATGGTTTAGATAATTTTGTGGGGATAGGGGATATAACTCCCCCTTTCTTATTTTAGTCAATTGATTTTTAAGAGCACCATGGGCCCTTTCCACAATCCCTTGTCCTTGCGGATTTTATGGAATCCCCGTTCTATGTACAATATTTAATTGATTACAAAATTGTCTAAAGGCTTTATTGATATAGCCCGAGCCATTATCAGTTTTAATCATGGAAGGTAGCCCAATGGAAGTGAAACATTTTAAACAATGAGACATGACATGTTTAGAGGCCTCACCCACCTGGGCTGTAGCCATAATATATCCCAAAAATGTATCGATGCTGACATGTACATATTTTTGTCTTCCAAATTCAGGTATATGAGTAACATCCATTTGCCACAAATGTTAGGTTTTATTCCCCGGGGATTTACCCCATACTGTGGGACAGAGTGATGCAATGGGCAAGCAGAACATTGCTTAACAATCTGGCGCGCTGCTTCGCGGGTTATACGAAACTGTGCGCGCACGCTGCGGCTATTTTGATGATGAAGTTGATGGGAACGTGAGGCCTTTTCAATTTGGGTGAGCATCATTAAACGCATTGAGCGATCAGCCAACTCGTTACCTTCAACAAGGGGGCCAGGAAGGCCAGAATGAGCTCTGATATGTTCAATGAAAAAGGGTGTGGCCCTTTGCCTAATAAGATCTCTTATTTTTTGGAATAAACATAAGAT